CTTGTCGTCTTCATATTAAAGTAACTAAAATATATATATATCATATATACTGATAAATATTAAATGTTAAAAATATTAAAATTGTTCAGGATTTTTTATCCCTACGTCATATCTCACTACGCAAGTCACACCTATCCTCTTCTGTCGGAGCACTCTTTCACTATCGTGTGTGTATTGTGCTTTGTGTTGTGTCTTGCTCCTGTGACTGCGTGTGTTATACTGCTGGGCCTGCTGGGTATGTGTAGGTATTTTGTTTCTTCTTTGTTTTCCAGTTTGTGTTCTTTCCTTCTTTAATGTTTTGCAATTTCATATGTTTTTGTTATAACTTTCTTTCTTCTTCTTCAGTGCAGTCGTTTCCATATTAATGCTAGAACAGACTGTTGCATAACAACGGATGAAACCAGAAAGTATACTTCCATGGAAACGCGAGTATTACGGGGTCACGAGTATCACAAGAGATTCCGAGTGAAATCAAAGCAGAAACAGTTTCGATTTATTTTCATTTTGATTTAATTATTTTGTGTTACATTGCGTTGGAATTGGGCTGTGTCGTTTACCATAGCGTTCATTTCGTGAGTATAGTTTATTTTTCATTGTTCTTCATTTCATTTTCTTTACTGTTTCCCTTATTAAGGGTGCAATTGGTGGTGGGATTGGGCTGTGTCGATTGATCTGCGTTTGAATTGAAATATTTCGCCAGTTTTTTTTTGTTTCTTCTTTGTTTTCCAGTTCATGTTCTTTCCTTTTTTAATGTTTTGCAATTATTTATGTGCTTAAGATAAGACACTGTATAAAAAATTCTATATATATGCAATAACTTTCTTTCTTCTTCTTCTTCGGTGCAATCGACCTGCTTTAGTTCATCCAAATAATGCAATGCATCGAGTAATTTCAAATCAAACTGGGGAAGAACGGGCAGACTGAGCCACAGCAAGGCGTGGCTGGGCATAGCTAGTTAACAATAAAATAATATGCGATAAGAACAAAAATTGCACATGTTATGAACTCATATACACAACAATAGGTTAAACCTAATTTAACAATTAGGTGATCCTAGATGGGGTATGGTAGCTCAGCAAAGGAAGGATAAAGAGGAGAGGAGCCACACCATGCTTAACTTCGCCAACAACCAACACCAGACACCAGGGACAACGTAACAGCAACATACAATGAAGTGTTAGGACGGCCGGAACTACGAGCTACAAGATACACAGCTACAGTCACCCAACGAAGGTCGCCATGACATAACTAACAGGTTAGTGCCCAAAACTGAAAATGGCGAGCCAATCACTTCGTAACCGCACAGCAGAGGGACAGCAGGAGGACCAGAAATTACCGGCTGGGGAGAGTGCCAGTGCAAACTACAGCGAACCGTCAGAGATCTTATGCAATCTAGATGAGATAGAAGGACAATTGCTCAGCTCACCACAGGAGTCAGAGTTAGTTTCAGAGTCAGTGTCCCAACCAGATGTGTTAACTGTAGAGCATCAAGTGAGGGAAACAAGTCCCCAGCCTCACACTCCAGCGGCCATGGACGAGCTTAAACAAATGCTGGCTGGATTCATGACCGCGATCCAGCAAAGCAATAAACAGTATCAGGAGTCAACAAGGGCCAATCTTAACAGGCATCAAGAAACCGTTAGGGCAGACATAGGCAGTGTCTGAGCAGATCTCAAAGCGGAAAGTGAAAAACTAATCCAAAAATTTGAGAGGCAAAACCGGGAAGCTAGGTGAGAATTTAAGGCACAGTTAGACGCAGAAGCCCGGCGAGTAACCAGCCTAGTTTCTAAGATGCAAAAAGAGACCGAATTGGAATTATTAGGGGTGAAAAAGCAGGTGATAGGCATTAGTACTGACTTCGAGACCAGGTTAGAGCACGCCAGTACTAACACTCAACGGGTGACTAACGAGTTGTCGGACCAGATTGTAGCACACAGGTCCGAGGTAGATGCCAGCTTGGCCAACTTAGGGCAAGAGGTAGATAGCAGATTCACACGCCAGGAGAGACTAAAGGAAATTACCAAAGCGTCCACCCAGGAGAAATCCGAGGTGGATCACAAATTTGATAAGATTAACGAAAAGGTAACAACCTTAGAAGGCAAATTTCACAGACTGTTGAATAGGCAGCATTTGGCAGCCGATGTGCTTGAAATGGGCCACGGCACAACTTCTTCCGTCGTGCGTCAGAATGACCAATCCCAAGTTCAAGTAGATACTAGTGGTAA